GCAGACGCCGCGCCGACCGACTCAAGACCAAGCAGGTCGGCAGCAGCAGCAGAGGCAACAGAGGGCAGCAAGGGGGAAGGAGAGCACCCCTCAAAGATGGGGGTGCGAGGGTCACCACGAGAAGCACCTACAGCGACTATGCTCTTCTCCGCTGCAAGGAGGGCCTTCTCGAGGAGGTCGACGGTGAGAGTGGTGGGACAGACTGCGAGAAAGTGGTCCCTGACGACGCGAAGGGAGTCAGGGAGGCGCGCGACTACGTAGTAGAGAGCGATGTACATGGGAGGGGGGTTCCTAGCGCAGAACTCAGCAGGAAGGGCGGCGCGGTAGCGAGTGTCACTAGTGCGGAGGTGCGTAATGAGGTCAGCGACAGTGGGAAAGGCAGAGAGGTCAGGAAAGAGGTAGGGAAGCATGAGACGGCTCAGTGCAGCAGTGGCAGGGGAGGAGTAGCGCGCAACTACAGCGTCGTACAAGGTCTGAGCACTCTTGTACTGACTAAAGTGCGCACGCTCAGAGGTAGGGAGGTGGCGACGCACAGCAAGACGTGCAGCAGCATCGCGGGTGGCCCACTTAGAGCGGACAGCGGGATCAGCATCAGCAGCAGGAGCAGGAGAGGCGCCAGAGGTGAGGTCAAAGAGAGAAAGGTCATCAGCCCTGTCGCACTGTAAGAACAGCTGCAGGTCGTCTAACCAGACCTCAAAATCAATGGCGCGACCCTCAGCGTCAAAAGCTAGGACACTAGGGGTAGCCATGACGACGACTGTGAAGCAGTGCAAGCAGTAGGGGGGAGAGCACGCAGTGACAGTGGGACTGTGCTCACCAGGCAGGGCAGGTCGCGCAGCTCGACAGAAAAGCAGAACGGCGACCGGGCGGCTCGGGTGTACAGCGGATCGGCTCCCGGGCGGCTCGACGGCAGGGCGGCTCGGGTGCAGGGCGGCTCGGCTCCCGGGCGGCTCGGCTGCAGGGTGGCTCGGGTGCAGGGCGGCTCGGCTCCCGGGCGGCTCGGCTGCAGGGCGGCTCGGGTCCCGGGCTGCTCGGCGACAGGCGGCTCGGCTCGGCCCCGCTCGGCTCGGGGCGGGGCCGCGTCAGGGCCGGCGGTAGGGCCGCGTAGGAGTCGGGGCAGGGCCGCGAAGGAGCCGGGGCGGGGCCGTGATAGGAGCCGTGGCAGGGCCGAGTAGGAGGCCGGCGGTGGGGCCGCTTAAGGGGCCGGCTGCGGGGCCGAGTAGGAGCCAGCTGCGGGGCCGCGAGAGAGCCGGCGCGGGGCCGCGTAGGAGTCGGCGGCGTGGCCGCGTCAGGGCCGCGTAAGGGGGGGGGGGGCCGGCGCGGGGCCGCGTAAGAGCCGCGTAGGAGCCGGCGCGGAGCCGCGTAGGGGCCGGGGACGGGCCGCGTAAGGAGCCGGCGCGGGGCCGCGTAGGAGCTGGCGGAGTGGCCGCGTAAGGGCCGCGTAAGGGCCGCGTAAGGGGCCGGCGCGGGGCCGCGTAAGGAGCCGGCGGCGTGGCCGCGTAAGGGCCGCGTAAGGGCCGTGTAAGGGGCCGGCGCGGGGCCGCGTAAGGGCCGCGTAGGAGGCGACGCGGGGCCGCGTAAGGGCCGGGGCGGGGCCGCGTAAGGTGCAGGGCGGGGCCGCGACAGAGTGGGCGGCGAGGCCGCAGGGGAGAGGGCGACTCGAGGGGTCGCTAAAAAAATCGCGCCTCGGGGGCGCGCTTCGGTGGGCCCAAAAAAAATTTCGGTCCTGGAGGGACCTAGCTCTATACCATGTGTAAATGAGTAAGCAGGAATGAGATGAACTATGAATGAAAGCAGTACAAATATGAAACCCTAACTGGGTTGTACCCCCTATGGGATACCCCACTACAGCCTACACAGCCGTATAAGCTATAGATATGTTCTGACACATCTCAGAATCCCAGCCACTAGACCACTGGGATAAAAGGGCTTGTTTCAGTAGCGGGTCAGTGCGCCCATAACCCCCCAGGCAACCGTGCCTGTAACCCTTCCCTAGGATCAATCGGGGATCACCAGTGGACCTCTGACACCCCCCCGCACTGGGATGCCTGAAGTGCATACACCGGGATTCGAACCCGAGACCTTCGCTCTGATACCATCTCAGAATCCCAGCCACTAGACCACTGGGATAAAAGGGCTTGTTTCAGTAGCGGGTCAGTGCGCCCATAACCCCCCAGGCAACCGTGCCTGTAACCCTTCCCTAGGATCAATCGGGGATCACCAGTGGACCTCTGACAACACACGGGTTCATACCGGGTCGAAGTTTGGCAGACGCGGTGGCGTTGGTAGCAGACGCGATTGAAGCGGCGGATAACGACGGGGAGGACTGGTACCTCTTGTTGGTTGATTTTCAGAAGGCGTATGATACTGTATCGCGGCCTTTCCTCTTCAAGACGCTGGAGAAACCCGGGCTGCCGGGACAGTTTGTCAAATGGACGGCGGGCCTGCACAAGGGTTCGGGGACCAGATTGGCAATCAACGGCTGGTTAGGCGAGCAAGTGGAGATGCAGAGGGGGGTGAGGCATGGATGTCCGTTAGCGCCTTACCTTTTCCTGTGCGCTCTGGAGCCGCTCTGCGCGGAAATCAGGAAAAGAGGTCTGGGGATCAAGGCGGAAGGCGGGGAGGCTGTGTCATACGTAGGGTACGCGGATGACACCTCCTTAATCCGGAATGGTGAAGCTCACCTGCAGGCTGCGGCGGGGGCCCTGGACTGGTTCGGGGAGCTGTCGGGCTACACATCAACAGAGACAAATCGATTATCATGCCGCTTGGAAGGAACAAAGGCAGAACGACATTACCAGGGGTGACGTTCAAGTGGGCGGAGACAGGAGTCCCAGAATGGCTACTGGGGGTCTGGGTGACGCCGGACGGAGAAGCAGGCCCATCCTAGGAGAAGGCATGGGAAAAGGGGAAGAAGGAGTTAGCGAAGTGGGAGAGCCATCATCTGCTGACAGCTGCAAGAGTGACGATTATCAACAATTACATTATGCCGATTCTTCTGTTTCAAGCGCAGATTTACCCGCCGCTGGAGGAACTATGGGAGAGGATCCGGAAGACGTGTGACAACTATGTATCAAAAGGGGAAGCGACGGCGGAGAAGATCTTCGTATTGTGGAGCGGAGAGCTGGCTCGCCTGCCAAAAAAGGAAGGTGGACTGGGGTTAGTCGAACCGAAGGAACGGATTGATAGCCTGGCTATACGGCAGGTGGGGAAATTTCTCACGGAGCAAGACGTTACCAAACGGTGGTTGTCGGAGAAGGCGGCGGCACTTCCGCAGGGAGTGGCGACCTTTTTCGCCCACAAGTCTGCTGGTAGACATTGGGGAAAAGGTAGCAAGAGGTGGAAGGCGATAGCATAAGTTTTCTGGGAGTCCCCGTTTGCAGACCTTCCGGCGCCATCGAATGGGTGGGAAGCCGAGCGCGAGATGCTATGCTTCAACCGGAAAATTATGTTCAAGGGGGGGAGCCCGTTCGGGAACCGCCAGGGGGCAGCAGGAATCTGGACAACTAGGCTAGGAGACCTGCTCATCACTAGGGGAGATGGTAGCAGGGAAGTTAAAAGCGTTAAGGAGCTAACAACAGATTTCGGAAGCGTGGCATCGGGGAGATGGGCGAGAAAAGCGTATGAGGCGATCCCTGACGATGGGCGAGCCGAGAGCGAAGCTGTGCCTGACATCGCTGGTAGGAGACGATATGAGGCCGGCTGCACCGAAAGCGATTAGGAGGGCGCTGGCAGGGCCCGTGGTGACGTCCAGACGGAGACACGAATGGGAAGAGGAGTGGGGGAACAAAATAGACTGGAAGGCGGTCAGAGAAAGAAGGGACTCGCTGGTGATCCCGTACAGAGCAAGAGATGTGCTGTTGAGGATGCACAGCAAGAACCTGCAGGTGGGGGGGAGGCTGGTGTTTCTTGGAGCCAGGGGGTGCTGCCCACACTGTGGAGAGCCAGAAACCCTAGCTCACTGCATGCTTACCTGCCCAGTCATCCAACCGGTGATCGGCGCGCTGCTGAGGTCATTGGGGATCATAAACCCAGCAGACCAAACGAGAACACTGGGAGACATGCTGTTTCAGGAGGGGGCCACGAAATCCGGGTTTCCAGGGGCGACGTTGACAGCAGTGACAATGCGCAGGATTTGGTTGGCCAGAGTGGATGCGGTGTACCGGAAGGAGAAATTTCAGAGGAAAAAGGTGGCACGGGCAGCAATCTATGACTTCATGCGGCATGCGAGGCTCTACAGAGCGGGAAAGTTGAGGAAGGCAGGTGTGGGGGGGGAGAAAAGGGCAACCACGGGACCCATGGGGGGGGCTGGAAGGAGATGAACGTGCGGCGATCGCGAGGATCTGTGAGGCAGGGGAGCAGGCCACGTGGAGGATGGGCTTCCTATCCATATGGCAGAACCCCAAGACGTTTCATCGGCCACCGTAGGCGGATGCAGGGGGGGCTGCGCTGGAGTCTTTGACTGCAGTTTGCATGCTTCCCTCTGGAATTCAGTTACGACTGTGAATGTATTTGCATTGGTATAGTGCAAACTCGTTCTGTATAAAAAAAACTTAACAATTTGAACATCTGCCACTCCGTATCACATGTGTCACGCATACCGAGTCATCCCTTTGCCGCGTACAACCCGTCACTACACTCCTTCCGTCAACCACGCTCTCGTGTTTCCTTTCCCCTCACCCCCGCACTCCACCGCCTCGTCCAGAAGCACCGCTTCGTCCAGAAGCAAGCATTCCTTGTCTCCTTGCACTGACGACGCACCAACAAGCTTGCGGTCTCCGCTACAGATGTCGCCGCAACTGGGTGTTATGTCCTCATCCCGAGAATTGCGGTAGTCCTCCGAGGCCCGTACGGTTTGCGAGAATGAACGAGGAAGGGCGGCATCAGCAGCTGCGCCGTCCTTCGCAGCGCACATAACACCGCGACCAACGCCGCCTTTCTCGCAGCGCCCTTCTTTCCCACATTCCCCCCTCTTCCGCCGCCTCCCCACGTTTCCCCTCATGGAGCGCACCTTTTCCGCCAGCGGCCGCCACAATCACCCCACGTTCGGCTCCCCCGCGCTCCGCCCTTCCGCCTCCCCCCTCTTCACCCACGCTTCCCACGCCACCGCGCGATCCCCGCCGCACTCCCCGTCGTACTCCCCGCCGTATTCCCCGCCGTATTCCCCCCCCTACTCCCCAAGCTCCCCCTCTAAAGGCCCCTTCCCCCAGGCCTCCCCACGCCTTAGATGCCTATATATAGCGATTCTGATAGTAGTCTCGTACAATTTAAGTTACGTGGTAGAGCATTTAACTCTGTCTTTATTAGGCCGCCCTAACGCGTGGTCGCACGGCGGCGCGAAGGGCGGGGAGGAGGAGTACGGCGCGTACGGCGCGGACACCGCGCTTTATAACGCGCTGTCCGCGGCTATCGATAGCGGGGATGACCCGCCCACGCTGGCGTCTTTCACGCCTCCCGACCTGCCCGAATGGGACCCCAACGACGTGAGTGGAGGGGGGGGGGAGGGACGGGTAGGGGGGGATGGAGGGAAGAAGGGGAAGGAGGCAGGGGGAAAGAGGGACGGGCAAGGGGGAAGCGGGAATTGGGGAGGCAGGAGGTGATTAGTAAGTTGACTCAGAAGTCAATTTGCCTGACCTGACCTGCCCGAGTGGGACCCAAATGACATGAATGCAAGGATGAGGGAGGGGGAAACGGAGGGCGGGAGGCATGGAGGTGGGAGTGACTTGCATGCGGAGCTGCCACCCGCATGTCTAGCACCACTGCTCCTCTCCCTCTCCAGGTACCCTCCTCACACCCATGTGGAGGCATTCGTTGCACCCACGGCAGCCCAGCGGCTTTCCCTAGCTGCCACACGGAGAGTCGTGTGGACGTGGACGTGGAATCACTGGTTTTTGAGAATTCTCAACAACCTCTCTATTCTCACTGCCACCTCCTTCATCCCATCCTTTTTCATCCGATTTCGATGCGCCGCAAAAACCATTCCACCCTTGGCGTTCACCTCCCCCACGCATCCCATCCTTCCCCTATTGATCGGGCCCACTGCACCTGCATATAAACCTCTAAACCGATGAGCATCCATCTGGCAGGTGCAAGTGGAGGTGCCAGTGGGGCCGTCCCGCGTATGTTTTTTGAGAATTCTCAAAAAACATCCACCACGGCCGCCCAGAAGCGCTGCTCTGCCACAAGTCACACGCCACGTGTGACTTGTGCCCGTGCTAGAAGCCTTGCCCTGCCACGTGTCCTTGTAATCCACCCACACACGCCACCTCCATGCATTCCATGCATCCCATGCAATCCATGCATCCCATGCATCCCACTCAACCCCCGTTCTGCCCGTCAGGTGCAAGTGGAGGTCCCAGTGGGCTTCTATCTACCACGGCCGCCCAGCAGGGCACACACACACACACCCACACGATTAGCGCACACCCACCCATCACCTCTGCTCACCTCACCGCGCCGCCCCTCATCCATACCCACCACCCCCCTTCCTGTCTGTCTGTCAGGTGCAAGTGGAGTGGAGTTCCCAGGGCTTTCTACCTAGGCACACGTGACACACAGGGCTATGCGGAGGTGTGTAGGCGTGAGTGTTTTGAGACGTCTCAAAACACTCCTTCTTTCACGTGACACACAGGGCTATGCGGAGGTGTGTAGGCGTGAGAGGTGGTCCCAGGGCTTTCTACCAAGGCGTCCCAGCAGGGCACACGTGACACACATGACATGAGGAAAGCACACCCATCACCTCACCTCACCGCACCGCACCACCTCTCATCCATACCCACCCCTCCCCTTCCTGCCTGTCCGTCAGGTGCAAGTGGAGGTGCCGGTGGTGTTCTACCATGGCCGCCCGGGAGCCTCGCCCTGCCATAAGTCGCATTATGTCTATAAAGTAGTCTCCGAGGTGAGATGTTGATTTGAATCTGTGTATCCATTCATAAATTTATTTAATTTTTCTCTCATGAGCTACTGAGTTACTTGTCTGTAACATGAAACAGCACTGAACACGAAATACACTATACTATACACACTTTTATTCCTCTGCTTTCTCTGCCTGTGCTTCCCCGACTTGACTTTTGAGTCGACTCAAAAGTCAACTTTGCCTGTGCGTCCCCGACTTTTGAGACGTCTCAAAACTCTGCTTTCTCTGCCTGTGCTTCCCTGACCAGTTTTGAGACGTCTCAAAAGTCCTCTGCTTTCTTTGCCTGTGCTTCCCTGACCAGGCGCGCAAGCACAACAACGCGGTGCATTTCATCGGCCCTCGGGAGTGTCGGCAGTTTTTCTTCCACATGGGGGTGGCCTTCGAGGAGCATGCGGAGTACGAGGAGGTGTATGAGTGGTTCATTCGCAACCTTGGGACTCCCGTGGACGTGCATGTGAGTGCGTAGGAGTGTGAAGGAGTATAACGGTCGTTTGAGGTGGCGTTCGAGGAGCATGCGGAGTACGAGGAGGTGTACGAGTGGTTCATCCGCAACCTTGGGGCTCCAGTTGACGTGCACGTGAGTTTATTCCTGGAAAGGTAACAATGTAACAGCCTTAGCACTCCAGTCCACGTGGACGTGAGTATGGAGGGGTGCAAGCTTTGTGGGTTTGTGCATATGGGTTCAAATAGGTCACTTCGAAGCATTTCAACTGTGACTCGTTTGAGAAATGCGTCGTGAGTATATGAATCCTACTCACAGGAAACATGGGAGTTTTTTTTTTGTTTTTTCTTCCATCCACTCCCCTCTCCCCATCAGGTGCGCTGGTTCATACTCAAGAAGTTCATGGGGCGCCACAGCTATGGACGCATATTCCTCCACTCTCACGTTCCCACTCTGCCTTGATCGCTGTTCTATTCCCGCTCCTCCATCCTAAAGAAGTTCATGGAGCGCCACAACCACAGTCGCATATTCCACCTCGCCCACTCTCCCACTCCCCCCTGATCATTGTTCTTCCTCCAACATTTCCCCCTACCTTTCCATCAGGTGCGATGGTTCATACTAAAGAAGTTCATGGAGCGCCACAACTACGGACGCATATTCCACCTCGCCACCGAAGTCATGCTCTTCGCCAATGCCTCCCAGGTGCCCACAACAGCGCAGCGCTCCCCTTCTCCGACAGCAGTTTCCACCCCTTTCCAGCAGTTTCCACCCCTTTCCAGCACCTTTCACCACATTTTGTCGTCTTACACCAACACTCGCTGCTTTGTGGTCTCCCTCTAATCCGCGTTCTTGTGGAGTCTCTCTCTTCTTGCGTTTCCTTTTGAGTCGACTCAAAAGCAGACTCCCTTTAATCCGCGTTCTTGTGGACTCTCTCTCTTCTTGTGGACTCTCTCTCTTCTTGCGTTTCCCGCCACTGCCCCCCTCCCTCTCTCTCTCTTCTTGCGTTTCCCGCCACTGCCCCCCTCCCTCTCTCTCTCTTCTTGCGTTTCCCGCCACTGCCCCCCTCCCTCTCTCTCTCCTTGCAGTGCCTTCTCGAGTGGCAGTGTGCCTTTTTCCCTCTCTCTCTCCCCAACACCATCCCTACTCCGCCCTCGCTTTGCCGGCCTGCTTGCCCAGCATTCCCCACCCACTGCATCCCACTCCCTCTAACTGCCTCCCTTTATTCGGACCCCTTGTATTCCTGGCTATTCTTTTTTGCGTCCTCTCAGGTGGCGGCATGGCTCTTCCCTAACTCTGACCTCGCTCTCCCTGCGCGCTGGCCCAGCATCAGGCCTCCATTGAGGCCCACTCAGTACTCCTCTGCAGGTGAGCTCACAGCCCAGCTTGCGTGCTCTACTCTGCAGGTGAGCTCACAGCCCAGCTTGCGTGCTCTTCTCTGCAGGTGAGCTCACAGCCCAGCTTGCGTGCTCTTCTCTGCAGGTGAGCTCACAGCCCAGCTTGCGTGCTCTTCTCTGCAGGTGAGCTCACAGCCCAGCTTGCGTGCTCTTCTCTGCAGGTGAGCTCACAGCCCAGCTTGCGTGCTCTTCTCTGCAGGTGAGCTCACAGCCCAGCTTGCGTGCTCTACTCTGCAGGTGAGCTCACAGCCCAGCTTGCGTGCTCTACTCTGCAGGTGGGTGCGGTTGGCTTCCCTCCTCCCTCTCACCCTCTCCCTGCGCGCTGTCCCAGCATCGGACCTCCGTTGGAGCCCACTCAGTGCTCCTCTGCAGGTAGGTGCCAAGTGCTTTCTCTCCTCCCGTTCGCTCTCTTCCGCTTCCTGCTCCTTGTCTTCGACTCGCCGCTGCTCCTAGTCCCATACACTCTTCAGCATCTGCCACACACGTAGCATTAAGTTCCCATCCTCCCAATCTCTCTATCCCTTCCCCTCCCTGCAGGAGTGGGCACGCACATAGCCCTCATGTCATACGCAGCCCTTGTCCACGGGTGTCTCTTCCTGCAAGCTCTCGTTCACTCACTGCTGCTCCCATACCCTGACATGCTGTCCGATACCCTTAGTCTCTCAACCCCTTCCCCTCATCTCCCATGCCCCCCTCCCTGCAGGAGTGGGCACGCACATAGCCCTCATGTCATACGCAGCGCTGGTGGACTGGTGTCTCTTCCTGCACGCTGTCTTTGACTCGGCCATGTTCGGAGGAGACAAGGACACCCAAGACCTGGTGCTGCTGCCGTCCTACGTGGATGTTACAATCATGGGCTGGTACACTTTCGCTGGCTGCTGGCTGCAGGTGAGCGGTGGAGAGCTGTGCAGAGCGGTCAAGAGCGGTGAAGTGCCGTAGAGAGGACTAGAGAGCAGTGGGGAGTGGTGTTTGAGTGGTAAATAGAGATGATTAGAAGAGGACCCAAGACCTGGTGCTGCTGCCGTCCTACGTGGATGTTACCATCATGGGGTGGTACACTTTCGCTGGCTGCTGGCTGCAGGTGAGCAGTGGAGAGTGGTTGAGTGCGGTGGAGCGAGGTAGCGAGAGGTAGAGAGCAGTGGGATTAGAAGATGAATGAAGGGACACCCAGGACCTCGTGCCGCTGCCCTCTTATGTTGACGTAACCATTATGGGCTCGTACACCTTCGGTGGCTGCTGGCTGCTGGCTGCAGGTGAGCGGTGGAGTGCGGTTGAGTCTGTTGGAGTGCGGTTGAGTGCGGTGGAGTGCGGTGGAGTGCAGTGCCGAGGGCTAGAGAGCAGTGGAGAGTGGTGTGTGAATGTGTGAGGTGATTGAAGGGAGACCTATGACCTGGTGCTGCCGCCATCCTGTGTTGATGTCACCACTTTGAGCTGGTACAGCTTCGCTGGCTGCTGGCCGCAGGTGAGAGGAAAGCGGTGGAGAGGGTTGGAGATTGATGGAGAGGGGTTTAGAATGCTCGAGAGTGGTGAAGGGGTGATAGGACTCAGAATCCGGTCTTGCTGTCCTCATTTGTGGATGTTACCAAACCCATTTACGCTTGCAGCTCCTATACCAGGCTATCTCTGCTTCGCTCCCTCTTGACCCCTTCCCAACCCCAACCCAACCCCATTGCAACCACCACCACCCTCGCGGCAGTGTGTCGGGCATGAAACCCAAAATCTCCAAGCCTCCATGCAAAACGGGGCATCCAACCACGCTTCTGAGTGCAATCCCTCTTCCAGCCGTCTCTGCTTCCCCCACTCTTAACCCCTTCCCATCACAACCCTACTCGCATCCCCATCCCCACCACCAAAACCCCTCACAGCAGTGGGTGGAGCCTCCATGTGTGTCAGGCGTGAAACCTGAAACCGCCAAGGCCCTGCGCAAGCGGGGCATCCAACCGCGCTTCCGAGTGCAATCCCTCTGCCAGCCGCGGCGCTGCCTCAACTCCTCCTGGTCTGACCCGGGCATCTGCGTCTTTGACAACCTATTTTTGTTTGCTCCTCATTCCCTGCTCCCGTTCCCACCTCCATGGCAGTGGGTGGAGCCTCCATGTGTGTCGGGCGTCAAACCCAAAACCGCCAAGGCCCTCCGCAAGCGCAGCATTCAACCGCGCTTCTGCGTGCAATCCCTCTGCCAACCCATCTCATCTCCACCCTTCCCCCCTTAACCCTTCCGGTGCATGTACCCCTATGGCAGTGGGTGGAGCCCCCATGTGTGTCAGGCGTCAAACCCGAGACCGCCAAGGCACTCCGCAAGCGGGGCATCCAACCGCGCTTCCGAGTGCAATCCCTCTGCCAGCCGCGGCGCTGCCTCAACTCCTCCTGGTCCGACCCCGGCCTCTGCGTCTTTGACAACAACTTCTCCCTCACGCCCGGCCGCCCGTTCTTCAAGTTTAAAACCGGGGACAAGTGTCCGAGCACGATGCACTATGGGTTTTACCGCGGGTGGGAGGAGGAGGCGCAGACGGAGCCGGTGCAGTTCCTGGCGGTGCATTTCATGCATCGCAAGAAAGAGTTTCTGAGTACAAAGTTTCCGCCTGAACCAGAGAAGTCGTGGGGTAGTGCGAGCGAGTAGTGGTGATGGCTTGATTTTTTACGTGAATTGGATAGACAAAGCTAGCATTAGGCTGCGAGCGATGTATTGAGGTGGAAGAATCATGTTCCTGGTGCAGGCCAGCATGTTACCTGTACCGTATATGATGGAAGCAAAACATTGGCCAACTTCTCTGCAACCAAGCCAAGGCTACAGTATGTGGATGTTCCTACAAACCCGCACAAGCTGCACGCTTTTACAATCTCTCAACTTGCGAAGAGGAAGCTACAGTTGGTCACTGGCGCCTCTAAAGAATCAAGCTGCACATACGTAGCTGACTGCACACACCTGGTAAGGGGACGAAAACACAACTCCCCTTCAACACTTAGAGCTTACTTCCATACACGCCTTCCCCATCCTCAACGTCCAACCTACCGCACCAACTTTTGGAGCCTACCGAACCTACTTTCAGACACGCTTTCCATCCATTTCATCCTAGTCATCATCACTACCCCCCCAGTGTCTGCCAAAGTCGTCGTCATCGTCACTGTCCAAGCCATACTCATGATCAATATCATTATCTTCACCTCCGCTCTCCTCGTCCTCTGGTGCCTCAACGCCCGCCTCTTCCCTTTCCCCAGCCACATCGCCTCCCTCCTCCCCTTCTTCCTCTTCCGCATCCCCTCCTTCCTCTTCCTCCTCCCCCTCCCCCTCCTCTCCCTCCTCTCTCCTTACAGGAACCCCTCTCATGTCACGGCGGGAGAGCAGAGGGCATTCACTGATGTCGCACTCACGCAATGTTGGCATTTTCCGGAGAGACGCAGGCAGCCGAGTCAGCTTCTTGCATATGATCACCTCCAGCTTCTCCAGCTTAGGTAGAAGAGTGAACGAATCTGGCAAGCTTTGTAAGTGCTTCAGCCCCAAAATCAGCAACTTTTTAAGGGAAGACAGCTTCCATATATCATCCGGAATGCTTGGGATTCCAAGCATGATGAGAGAGCAGGATCGTAGCTTGGGTAGATTCACAAACGACTTTGGGAGCTGCATCAGCTTGTAACAGTCGATAATCTCCAGCGTCTCGAGCATTTTCAGCTGCCCAAGAGACTCAGGCAGCTGCCGCATTGAGATGAGGTCAACCAGCTGTAAGACACGCAGCCCTGCAAACCCCCCAATGGTCTCAGGCAGTTCTTTCAGATAGTAGGCCGAATCAACCTTAAGCCGTTGCAGCTGCGAGAGTTGGGAGATGCAGTCGGGGAGAGAGTCAAGTTTGTGAAGATCTAAAAGTTTTAACTGCGTCAATGAGGGTAGACGACCGAGAGATGGACCGAACGACTCCACATTAAGCTCTTTGATCTTCAGACTTTGTGTGGAAGGAAGCAGAGGACGGCTGCTGCTCCTGCTGCCAGTGCTAGTCACAAAGCCCTTGGCAGTGCGTTGAAGCACCGTCTCATCGCCTAGCACCCCACTTAGTGAATCACATGCCCGCACGTCCAACGCCCTCAGACTAGGCAGCTCAAGGAGCGCCGGAGGGAGACATATCAGGCCGCCCATCCCAAAGATTCTGACCTCCTCGAGCGCCACCAGCCGTCCGATTCCCTCTGGCAGGACCGTTACTTTTGGGCAGTTTCCAACTTCCAGCCTGGAGAGGGAATCAACGCCAGAGAATGAAGCTGGGAGGGAGGATAGGTGTGGCATGGAATCGAGCGACAGCTCCTTGAGGCTCCTCAAGCAGCCAAAGCCGTCTAACAGCGCGCCCCTGAAGCGTTTCGCGTGAGCAATCTTGAGCGTTTCAAGAGATGTCAGGCCGGAGAAGGATGGAGGGAGGTGGGTGAGAGCGGTGCAGTCCAGTAGATGCAGGTGGCGCAAGGAGTGCAGACCCTTCCCCATGGCGTCTGGCAACACCGTGAGGCTCTGACACATGTTGATCTCTAGGCGCTCGAGAGAAGTCAGCTGGGATAGGGAGTCCGGGAGTTGCTGCAGCTGCCTACACTCCACTATTTTCAGCTTCCGAAGAGCAATTAACTGCCCGAATGTTTCAGGCAGGCGCGTGAGCTGTCGGAGGTCTTTCAAATACAGCTTTTCTAAACAAACCAGCTGACCGAACTCCTGGGGCAGATGTGTCAGATTGAGAAGAGAATTGAGGGAAATCTCTTGAAGAGTGGTAACCAGGGCGATGGAATCAGGTAAGGCTGTGAGACTTCGCAGATTTAGCACGAGTCTCCGTAGCGTAGACAACTGCCCGAAATCTTCAGGCAGCACTGAAATTTGTCCCATGTCAAGGGTTATATCGGTGAGTGCAGGCAGGCGGGGAAGAGACACGGGCAGAGTCGTGATGTCACTGCAGCCGTTGATAAAAAGAGTCTTCAGTCGTTGCAAATGTTCCAGATCCACAATCAAGTCGCGCATTCCCCTCACTTCAACCATAATGAGGGTTTCAAGCGCCCCCAGTTGACCGAAATCGGCCGGCGACGGAGGAAGAATGCTGCAATTTCGGAGCTCCAGGACGGCGAGAGAAGAGAGCTCGGTGAAAGAGGTCGGCAGCTGCAGCGTAGAGCAGCCACTTAAGGAAAAACGGTTGAGAGCGGTAAGTTGCCCAAAAGATTCCGGAAGTGTCGCCAAGCGGCTATGGTGGAGCTCCAGCGACGTCAAAGAAACCAGATTGCCGAAATTCTGAGGCAGAGCTTCGAGCTGATAAGTGTTCAGCACGAGCCTTTTGAGAGATTGTAACGAGGTCAGTGTGTCGGGAAGACGCGTGACTCCACTTCCCACGAAGTGCAGGTGCTTGAGGGAAGTAAGTCGGCCGATTGACGTGGGAATGGCAGCATTCGTCGAGCAGTACACATAGAGATCTTCCAGCCGCGTACACCCTTCGAACAGCGCAATGAGGCTCTTCTCGGTTACATCTCTTTTATTAGTCCAAGGTGACATCGTTTCGACATGAAGCTGGGTCAAATGGCGACACGACCTAGCGAGGTGAGAGAATAAGAACTTGGAGATGGAGGTGAGGCTGCAAGAGGAAAGGATTAGCTTTTCGAGGTTAGGGAACGAGGATAGAAGTTGAACAAGCCGAGGCGGATCCATACGGATGTCATGGGGCAAACGGAGCTCGTATTGCACGCGGCACGCGATCTGATGCCATTGCTTGCTAACAAGTGCGTGCTCTGGCAGGCCATCAGGTCGAACCAGAAAACGTAGGATCCGAGAAAGAAGCTCCTCAGGTAGTCGCTGAATCGGCGATCCGATTGACATTGTGAAAGGCGGAGAAAATAGTGAATGATTATCTGTTCAGCTTGTTGATTCTGCTACTAATCAGGTAACGAGAGTCCTAATCGTCTAATAGCAAGGTTGTTGTGAGCTTGAAAGGGGGAAGGAATCACTCGTGAAATCATTCCCCCGAGGATCACGGAGTGCATCTCTCTCAACCAGGGCTGTCGCTAGGTCTGGTCCGGTCGCTCAAACCAACAAGAAAACCTTGAGGTTGTCAGTTACACAACGCTCGTTCTTCTCGAACCATTCCCGCCAGATGCTCCCACGTAACACCGTACTTGCGAAATGGTCGGCGATGTAGGGCACAAAATGACGAACCTCAATCTCGATTTTCGAGGATTGCCCACAGTGCTTTCGCGAGCCCCAATTGTGTGTCTCTTGGTGACCCGACGTGCGCTTGTGCGAGTTCCGCCAGAAAAGTGATGGCGTACCCGTTTGTGGATGCGATTCCAGCGAGTAGTGTAAGAAATTTGTGATAAGCAGCGAGTTGTTATTCGCAAATACGCAAGGAGTGTAAAGAATGGAGCAAAATAAGGTACATATTACTGTTACAAGGTTAGAAAACGTGTATTTTGCGCTTACGTATATGACCTTACAAGGCGTTAGAAGAAAGTGTGCCCCTGTGTTTTAGGTACCAGTGGCACTTTTCTAAATCACACTGCAGCTGAGTGCACGCATCTGGTAAGGAGCGCTAACAACACATAACCTTTCCATTGACAACCACAGCCTATTTTCATACATGATTTCGTCCCCAACTTCCAACCCACCAGTCTCACCTATTCATCCTAGTCATCATCACTGTTCCCCCAGTCTCTGACATCGTCGTCAAAATCATTGTCCAAGGCATACTCATGATCAATATTATCATCATAACCCCCACTCTCGTCTTCCTCCACTGCCTCCCCACCCGCCGCCACATCGGCTCCCTCCTCCCCCTCTTCCTCTTCCGCATCCCCTCCCTCTTCCTCCTCCCCTTCTTCATCCTCCTCCTCCCCCTCCCCCTCCCCCTCCCCCTCCTCTCCCTCCTCTCTCCTTGCAGGAACCCCTCTCGTGTCCCGACGAGAGAGCAAAGGGCATTCACTGATGTAGCACTCACTCAATGTCGGCATTCTCCGGAGAGAGGACGGCAAACGAGCCAGCTTATTGCACGCAACCACCTGCAGCACCTTAAGCTAAGGCAGCTGGGTAAACGAATCCGGCAAGCTTCGCAACTGCCTCAGTCCCAAAATCAGCAACTTTCGGAGGGAAGAAAGCTTCCAAATCTCATCCGGAATGTATGGGATCCCGAGCTTGATAAGGGAGCACGATCGTAGCTTGGACAAACTCACGAAGGACTGTGGAAGCTGCATTAGTTTGTAGCAATCAATAATATCCAGCGTCTCAAGCATTTTCAACTGCCCAAGAGACTCGGGCAGCTGTCGCATCGTGTACAGGTGAACCAGCTGCAAGACACGCAGCCCTGCAAGCCCCCAAAGGGTCTCGGTCAGTGCTTTTAGATTAAAAGCCGTATCAACCCGAAGCCTTTGCAACTGTGAGAGGTGAGCGATGGAGTCAGGGAGAGATTCAAGCCTGTCCATTTCCAGAAGTTTCAGCTGCGTGAAGAGGATAGTTGACCCAGGGACGGACCAAAAGACTCAACATCCATCTCTTTTATCTTGAGGCTCTGAATTGAAGGAAGTAACGTGCTGCTGCTGCTGCTGCTGCTGCTGCGGCTGGTGCTGCTTGTGCTGGTCACAAAGCCTCTGGCAGTACGTCGAACCACCTTCTCATCGCCT